AATTAAATGAGGCCATGAGCAAAGCCAGGAAGCTGATATTTTCATTACCGCTACATTAAGTATGCGGCCCGCGTGGCCAGCATTAGTATGTCACCTCCCCCCGCAAGGGGGAGCCAATCAAGGGATGCGGTTGAGATGCTGAGTACTTCAGCGTTTTATATTCAGTGCGCGATCGTAATGTAATATTGCTTTCTTGGTTTTGTATGTCCACGGCGTAGTTGTCAGCGAGTTACGTCAGGAGGTTAAGCTACTCTCAGACAACTTATTCTTAATTAAGTAATACCTATTTTTGGATTCTTGGAAGCTACCCATAGCAACACCGCTGACACGCCCAGGAGGGGAGTAGGCATACATAGCTTCTCTGTCGCACTGGACATAAAAATTGGGCATATTCACGATATATGTGTGCACGATTTGGCGGTGTATTGTGTCATTGTTTATGTTTGAGTGTTATAGCTACAGCTTTGTTTCTTAAGCATGTACATGAGGAGCTCGATGGCGCAAGTGTTTAGCGCGTTCGGCTGCGATCGTTGAAGTTAAGCAACTTTCGCAGTGGTCGATCATTGGATGGGTGACCAAAAAATTTACTATTTCGAGCCCTCCGTGCTTCGGAAGGCACGTTAAGCCGTTGGTCCCGGCTGCATCTGCAGTCGTTAGCACCCGCCAATCTGCACTGGGCCCGCGTGGTGGGTCATGGCCTAATCTCCCTATTCCATCCATAGGGAAGGCCTGTGCCCCAGCAGTGGGGACATTAAATCCCCTCTCCACGCCGCAACTGAATGATTTAGATAGTACTATGTCACTATAGCTTCCGTGCTGCTCTATGAAGCTACCAGAATAAGGGAGAGGAGTGGTATCAAACTGCATTCATATTTGATGACGCATCTGTGAAATTGCGGTACCAATAGTTCGTTTCTGAACGAACGCCGGTCTCTAGAGAGGTGGCCGTCTTGTCACGGATGACAGTTTATGGTTTTATCATTATATTTTATTTTATTCAGGCCAAAAAACTGGGGTACAATTCTCATTAAACAAATAGTATTGTAACTAGCAAACCAGTGAACCAAATGTTCACCAAAGAAAAAATAATAATTGAGAACTTCGGAGATTTTGTGTGGTTTCGTTTGAAATAGATATCACGTGATTTCTCGAAAACCGGAAGTGCTACGTTACTCAAATCCGGATTGTAGTCTTATCAGACTATTCTTAACTTATAACTTAAACATTCTCTATATCTATCTATTACGGTTTGGCCGCTGAAACAGCACCACGGACGGACGGACGGACTTGTCTAATAGATAAGAGATACAGGGGTGACACCTTCAATTATTGTACGACCAACTTCATTATCCACTAATTAGAACAAAATACAAATTTTTGCGCTTAAGATGTTCTATTAATACAGTAGGTACCAAGAAATTAACAGAATATAAAGTTAGTAACTGAAAATAATAACATGACCTATCAATCAAACCACTGCACGGTTCCCAACTTAGGGGTTTTGTCGCCAGATTTAGGGGCTAGAAGGGTTCAAACGGACTTTTTTAGGGGCTGGAATTTTTGGGGGTTCTTTTAGGGGCTTTTAACAAAACTTGCAATTAAATCGAAAAACAAAGCGTGTGTTTTCTTTCAGTTTTTGCGTAGAATGGAACGCACCACGATATGAAACGACTGAACTGACAGTGTGGCAGATTGTTTCCTAAGGCTGTATGGACTAAAGTTCTTTGCCTTCCACCAATCAAAACAGCTAAATATGATTTAACAGCCTGTCAGCTCATTTTCGTTTGATTTTCCATTCGGAAAATGTATGTATTCAATAAAATAATTTACTGTAACTAAATATACGTAACGTTTTAATTTATCAGCAACGAAAGAATTTAGGTAATAAGATAAGTAGGTACATATAAATTTCTATATTTAGGGGATTTTAGGGGAATTTAAAAAATACTTAGGGTAAAATTTTGGTAAGGGTTGGTAACACTGAACCACTGTGCTAAAGTAGTTAAATGGTTGACGTGTGACAGAAGGCGCGCTCATGACTCCTTGCTCGGTGAACGTTATTTTAAATCGAGTATCATCTTGTGATTGTGAACTATATTGTGCAGCAGCAATTACTTAAAACCATCAAGGATTCATATTCAAACCACTGTTCTGTTTATTTCGTTGAATGACCATTTCCTCGCTCGCCAATCCACGCCATTGATAAACGTGAACAAACTACTGATTTCGGCCATGTTCCTACACATTTATTTCATTCAACATTTCAAAGATAAACATTCTTGTAATCATAAATGAGAGGAAATGTGTTACATAAATACTTATCATCATCTGAGCTCCTCCGTATTTCTAAAAGGACGTTAAGCCGTTGTTTCTGAGTGTATCTACAGTCGTTAGCACCCACCAGAGCAACCAGAACCCCAAGATCCTTAATCCTTATGTACATCATGGAAGGAGCTACTTAGTTTTCATAGAAATTTTGACGATGCAATAGAATAGGGATGATGAGTAATTTTTTGACGTGACAACGTCTTAAATTAGGTTGCGGCTGGGAGTCACTTATGAAAAAGTGTAACGCTCGGTAACGTTACGATGAGTCTCTCGTGTTAAGTTTAAGTTTACATGTACAATGTTTTAGTAAACAAAATATATTTCTATAGTTAAAATTTGTGCAATTCTTATTTTCATTCAATTCCTTGTTCCTATTGTGCAATTTAATTATATTCATATCAATAAATATTCTACCGAGAAAAAGACGTTGTCACGTAAAATCTTCGCCCGTAAAACCGACTTTACAGGCAACCATTTTTTTTTCTTCGTCTATCAGGTAGATTATCAAAAAGTATTGGACACGTATTTTTTCTTTTTTCACATAATATCAACATTGCAGAGATATATTGATTTGAAAAGTCGCATGACGTCACGTTTGAGTACACTTTTAAGTGAAAATTCACTCAAAAGTGACGTCACCAGCCCCTACTCCCAAACTTTGACGCGCTATAACTTTGTCATTTTTTGGTTGATTGCCCAAAGAAAAACTACGTGTCCATTATTTTTTGATCATCTAACTGACGGACTAAATAGTGTTTCGTTTACTGTACCCCGTCATCACCCCTATTACGTGCTTGGGCTTCCGTGCGCATACGCAGCGAGCGTGGTGGATCATAAGTCATGACCCAATCTGACCATCCATAGTAAAGGCACCTGCCCCTTCAGTGGGGCAGTGCTACATTAATAGGCTGATGAGTATTCTTGGAATCAATCTTCTCACCATGCTGACCTGCAAGTTGCTTCTCCACGCCTCTTCCAAAGTATCTCGGGTTGCAGGAGGGAGGGAATACGTGTGTGGGCAAAGCATTCCATTTGCGGATAGTATGAGCGGTAGACCTATCTATATATTTATTTAAATTGTTTTTTTATTTGTTCCTTAGGTTTTCACGCACATCACTCATTAAATAAAACTAGTTTTTACGGGTTAATGCACGAAACTTTATTTAGATAGAAAGCCTCTCTTGAGTTTGTTTCGCCGGTTCTTCTCAGGAAGGTCTCCCAATTTTGGAACCGGTGGTAGTTTACGGTAGTTAGGGTCAAATAAATAAATAAACTCAAAATTACAAACAAGAATTTTAAATAAAATACTTTATTAAGTAAATTAAATAATAAATTCATACATAGACAATAAAATTTTAAAAATCTTGCAATGAAATAACCGAACGCTCAATATAAGTCTTTCGAAGGTAGCTCGACAATTTTAAATAAAAAATCATTATTCTGACGATGCAGACCTGAAAAGGCTGCGAAACGTCAATAAATAAATAAAGTTTCATGCATTAACCCGTAAAAACTAGTTTTATTTGTTTTTTTAGTGCTTTCTAAAGCAGACGAGCAGAGAGGCCACGTGTGAAGTTAAGTGGTTACCGTCGATTATCAGCAATGTCAGTGACACAGCAATGCCTTTCATAGAACACTCTTTTAAGCCTCGTTTGGTGAGGATCACGCTATAGCAGTGAGGCGATTTTCACATTGTTCCGCACTACGCGTGTGGTTGTAGCAGAGCAGATTTGCATCATCATGCAGATTTCGTCGTACTACCGCGTATTTCTCTGCATGTAAGCGCGCGATCTGCAACACTGCTCGTGCAACAATACGCACTCCCGCGCTACATTGCATGAGTGGTACACGTGGTGGGGAGCTTATTCAATAACGTTATTGTCTATGGAAGAAAAGAACTCTGGAAACGAACAGTGCTATGTGTCCAGGCCAGCTATGAGCCTTAGTAGTTTATGCAAATATCGAACGCAGCTAAAGCGCGCGCCATGATGATATTTTAATAAACCGCCTTTTGTACCACTCACATTTTCCTAACCTGAGAAAGCTGTGTCAATCATTATATCTGACTTGATAAGGTATTTGACAAGTTGTAGAAAACGATCTCAGGTTATTGACTAATGTTTATGGAGTCCGTGAAAAGTGGATATTCATCATTCTGTTGTGTATTTCAGTAAAAGTAACCAAATCAAAAACTCCATTTTCAAGTTGCCATGTAAACGTTTCTCTCGACAATATGGCGTCTTACTAGGGTGTGACGTCACACGACTGTTTAAAAACATCAAACGATACAATGTAATGCCATTTTAACCGGAATTTTACTTGCGTGAGACGTCATTTTAGGCTCCGCCAATTCCAAGCGTTTTGGGTCACGTGGCAATAGATAAGAAAACTATTATCTTTTTCATGGTTTTTAGTAAAATTATGGAAATTTTATTTTGTAAAAATATTGAAAACCCCTGTCAATATTCATTTTAAACACAGATGCTAACAATTGGCACTTTATTTTTAATACTGTCAAATACCCTATTATAAATTTAAGTTAAAGAACAGTATTGAGTTTCATTTTGACGCTCCTGTGTGTCCACTACGAGACATATTATGGTGGCCCATGAGGAGAACTAAAATTCACGAAGCAATTAACAGACGAAAATCACACAGTATGTCGTACGTACCCTCTCGCAGGCGATTGGCGCGTGCAGCTGCCGCGCCTGGCCGCGTCCCAGCGCCTCCCTCTTCCGCTGCGCGCTGAACAGCCGTAGCTCCTTGCGTTCCTCGTCTGACAGCGCGTGACAGTATCGCACCTGAAGATCATGGTCCAGTATTGCGTGAGACACACACAAACACACTCATTAGGCGAGATAAATACTTAGGCGGGGACACCAGGAGAGGCGCGGCGAAGATTCTTCGCAGCACTGTGCGCCGCTTCTATCATGATTGCCATGTTTTTGGAGTTTACTCCTTAAGAATCGATTTGCATATATAAGGGGCCCGGTATGAGAAAAATGTGAGGAGTAAAATCTACTGAATAAATGACCTCGTTACGTTTTTGTGCGCAACCTCATCTGCGCACCTTTCACTTTTAGCCATGGCAACGGATAAAAAACATTAAGTTTTCACAAATGTCAATAAAATAAATAAACTAAAAATAGATAAAATCGATGTAAAATTAATAATGAAAACAAATAAATAACAGAATATAGAGAAATGCCGGTAAGTGTCCAGCACTCTGGAATAGTGATTTTCAGTACAGATGGAATTATAATACATATTTACAAAGTGATGACTAGTGTGTGATATTTTTGAAATTGTGTGTTTCTAGAAATACATAATAAAATTTAAGATGAATATCGATGATGTTAGATGATAAAATGTGTGACATGGAACCTATGATAGTCGAAACCATGGGACGATTCCTGAGGTATCTCTACTTGTAACCGGCTTCTTCGGACTTGATTTTGTTTTGTGTCTGTTCAAAGACAATCGTTTTTAGAGTGTAAACTCCGGTCGTGCGTCGGAGCTGATACACACATTTTTTTTTTATAATAAAGGAATAAGGGTTTAACTGAAGTTGTTATCTTCTCAGTATCTATATTCGCTGCGTCTCTCCTGGTGTATGCTGCTCAATTGGGAACAGTAGAGAGAATGAGATGGTGGAGCCAATTCCTATACGAACTATTGGAAACATGATTGGTTGGTCTGCCCAGTTTTACTTTATGTATTTATACTTTATTGCAAAAACAGCAAATGGCGGCAAGGGCGGATCCAGAGGGGGGGTCATGGGGGTCATAAAAGAAAAATATGAGAACGCTGATTAATTATATTAAGATAGTGCTCACGAACCAATCACAGCTTTTCAGTTCATTATCTATCTATGTCCTAACCTAAAATTAGATCGCCCTTCTGGGAAAGTAAAGGTTGGGGGGGATGAACTAAGTTTTGGTCAAGTTATGAGCATTTGCTCACACATAACTGTGGCGCGCCTGCCCCGGCCACAAGGCCCTTCTAATCACTTTCAGTGTTCTGTGGTTATCAGCACCCAACAATTCGTTCTAAATGCTGATGATACTAAACAAAAATATCAGGTTAAATCAACTCGCCAATTATTACCACGTACGTTGGAGATCTCACCAGGAAAAGTATCTACTTTCCATAATTCAGAATACGGCAATCAATTCACACTGTTGTATAGTGTTGTGTTCCTACAATGGGAAAAGGTTCCAAATATCCACGGGGTAGGAGAGAAAATCAATATAGAAATATAGGCAATGCCCTAGCAGGAGTGATACCCTAGCAGTCAGACCCGTCTTTCCCAGTGGGCACTTTGGGTAAGTGCCCAGGGCCCTGAGATCGATAGGTGGGCACCTCAGATCACAAATATAAAGTCCCTAGTACTTGTTAGATCACCAAACGGGGGTCATAGGGGTCCCATTATCCTAATATGCCCAGGGCCTCCAATAGGTCAAAGACGGCACTGCTAGCATTTATTAAGTTTTGGTCCCTCATCACTAAGCGCAAAACAGCTCAGCTCCGTGCTTCGGAAGGCACGTTAAGCCGTTGGTCCCGGTTGCATCTGAAGTCGTTAGCACCCACCAATCCGCACTGGGCCCGCGTGGTGGGTCTGAGCCCAATCTCTCTATTCCATCCGTAGGGAAGGCCTGTGCCCCAGCAGTGGGGACATTAATAGGCTGATGATGATCACTAAGCGCCAGATTCTTGTACCTCACTTTTTCACACAGTAACGTACCTCATTGTCCTGAGGGGGTAGCTGCTGAAGAAGCTGCTTGAGCCGGTACCTCTCGCCCACGCTGTTCACGTACGGAACCTTGTCCTCAGGCAGCGCAGAGAAGTACAGGTGCACCTGGAATATTATGAAAAGTAATGCTTTTTATACAGCTCAACGCATACAGAAAATATAACTAAAAAAAATCCACTCGGACCAGGCGGCAGACGGGACTCGAACCCGCACCCTTCGCAATCCGGGCGAATGCACTGACCATTTATGCTACCGCGGCCCTCACGGACCGCGTCGAAATTCCTCTAGCCATTCTTAAGCTGCAAGGCAGCGCCATCTCTTCGCATTGTAGGTAACCCACAATGTCAAATGAATACTTTTACAAGTATTAAACATTTGAAAGAAGAAATAGCAATTATAATTATAATTTTATTTTTTTTAAAGCATGTAATTGCTTGATGTTTACATTCATTTGACATTATGGGTTACCTATAATGCGAAGAGATGGCGCTGCCTTGCAGCTTAAGAATGGCTATAGCATAATTGGTCTGTGCATTCGCCCGGATTGCGAAGGGTTCGAGTCCCGTCTGCTCCCTGGTCCGTGTGGAATATTTTCTAGTTATATTATCTTTAGAATTAAACATCAAGCCGTTACATGCTTTAAAAAAATAAAAATTATAACTCAACGCATTTTTGAAGGTGTCGTGTGTGTCGTCGGACGTAAATGGAAAAATCCTATGGAAAGCATGAAACGGATATGTGTCACGGACGTCACACGGCTATATACATATACTAACTGACCCAGCGAACTTCGTACCGCCCTAAAAAATAGGGGTTGTCCAGCGGACAAAATTGTGAATCTAAACCATTCTCAGATCCCCTTGAACACACACAAAAAATTTCATCAAAATCGGTCCAGTCGTTTAAGAGAAGTTCAGTGACATACACACTCACAGAAGAATTATATATATAAAGATATACATGTCTGTGTGTCTGGGATGCGTGCACAGCTCTTCCCCCCGACGAGTATAATGGACAGCTCAGCACAGCAAAGTAGATAGTGAATCGTTGGAGTCTTGTGTAACACAATAATCTACAGAATTATGTCCCGTCTGCCTCTAACTAACCAATATATAGACATGGGGCGAACGGGAATAGGGGTTAAAGGGAATGGGGGCGAACGATACGGGACTTAGCCGGACTTCAGTATAACCTCTAATTAGTGACCGGTCATAATGTTTTGATATATGGTCATATGTGACGATCATTGTGATTTATGACACAGGAACCAGTTTTTGGGATTATGTTCCTTATAAATTAAATTGATGAGGATGATAAGTATACGTATAGATGATATATAAACAGATATAGATTTAATGAATCATTAATGTACAATCTTTGTGATTTATAACATAGCAGAGTTTTTGGGAATTGTGTGACTTATAAATTAATTTGATGAGGATATTAAACGAAAAGATGTCGTATAACAAGGTATAGATTTAATGAAGCATTAATGGAGCACATTAGTGGAATTTTTTTCATTGGTTGATTAATTGTCATTTAACTTTTAATTTCTATATTAATCAAGTTAAGGTAGGAACAGAGGAGAATTCTCAGGCTTAATAAAATATAAGATTATTAGTAGCTTTGTGTTTTTGGGGAGTGTTCAGCGCATAAGAAATTCGGCGATGAATCGTAAAATATTCAAACAGAATTATAACAATACTAGCAAACCAGTGAACCAAATGTTCACCATAAAAAAAAATGTATTTAATTAATTGAGAACTTCGGAGATTTTGTGTGGTTTCGTTTGAAATAGAAATCACGTGATTTCTCGAAAACCGGAAGTGCTACGTTAATCACATCCGGTTTGTAGTCTTATCAGACTATTCTTAACTTATAACTTAAACATTCTCTATATCTATCTCTTACGGTTTGGCCGCTGAAACAGCACCACGGATGGACGGACGGACGGACTTGTCTAATAGATAAGAGATTCTCAGGATTCACTAGTTGCACTTATAATATTAAATTAACTTATTCTCAGTTCAAGACAGTGACATATATTATATGCTAACCGATGTTTTAGTTTCTCTACTTTCAAAGTACTTGAACAGCCTAAACTGTTATTTTCTTGAGTTTATTAATTTATTTTATCCAAATTAATAAGTATTACTTAATCCCACCATTCAAAAATATGTTCTCCTAATCACAGATTTTATTAGTAAATAAATTAAGTTATCTGTACCCGTAATTAACTCAAACTTTTTCAGCTTCATTTATTTGAGAACTTTCGTTTTTATTAATGATAACATTAAATTTAGTCAGTCAAAAAGAAAAAAAAATCCTTTTAATTACCCATTTACTTTTTAACGAAGCATTCGTTAATATATTACAACATTGATTCTCACAAACTCCACCTATGGCATTTTAACACTAATAAAATATTCCATCTCCCAGCTATAAAAGTGAACGTTGCTCCATAAATTAAACGACTGCAATAAACAGGCAGTCCCTATAGTGCGTATTTATTAAATATAATAAAGGGAGACTTAATGAAAGAGAAACGTGATAGTAATATCTTATGAATGACGCGATGACTACAACTATGGATTTAGAAAACATCCTTGTGGCATACTTTGTATAATTACTATATATGGTATCTTGAAGTAGGCAGCCATGTTACGAATGTTTCAACTTCTTCATTTTAATTAAAGTGTCGCGAAACAAACTTCATAGCAGAGCTAATTTTCGTTAATTATACAAAGAACTTTTTCTGTAAAAAACCTCGAAGAAACTTGGACGTGATTCGAAGAATTATTGCTTCAAAAATTTATTTAAAGTTAAACGCTCCGAGCTGAAACGTAATATTAAACAGGATTTCATAAACTTTTTTCATTTTTACAGAGTCACATTTCTTCCTCGGCGACGGCCATTAAAACGGCATTGAAGCACCGAAAATCCGCTAAAAGGCACCCCGACTCTTTAATGCCACTCACAAAATACTCACAAAAGATATCATACTCCTGGGGTGCCTCGTGCCCTGGAGGGCCGTTTTAATTTTTTGCTCGGATGCCTCCAAGAACTTTAATACTTTATTTCCGAGTGTAATTATAAATGCCATCTTCTATTTGGTATTCAAAGTGGTCGAGCATTGTTGGTTCATTCCTTAAAAGTAAATAAATCGCGGAATTCCGTCGCGCGGGGCGATGCAACGATGCTGCGCGAGTGTTTCGAATTCTATGTTTAATGTTTATGTAATTTCAAGAACGACTTCCTTTAATTAATTTGGTTTCATAGTATATTTGTCTTTGTTTAACATCGTGGTCTATCAAGGTAACCACGCAATTTATTTTTTTGCAAATTCAATTCCTTTTTTATTACACGTTATTCATTAACAATTTTTGGTAATTATTACATACAACATTAGCGCGTTGCAAGTCTACTTACAAAGTTTCCAAAATAGATTTTTGTTTGATATACTCTCATTATTTGTACGGAAGATTCGTAGAGATTCGGAGAGTGTATGGAAGAGAAATTAAATCGGTTTATATAAGTAACATTAAAAGTTGCTAAAAAATAAAAATTATATTTGTACAGGATAAATTCAGGATGAAAGGAGCATAATTCATAAATGAAAAAGTGATGAGCAATTAAATCAGGTAGCAATAAAAACAACGTAAAATGGAGGATAGTACTAGCAATTTCGAAGGTAATAAACGACACAATATTACATTATTACCTATTAAAGTGCACAGGTACGTCAAAAAGTTCAGTATCTCATGAATTCAAAATCTAACAGTGATAAATGTTCTGTGCTCCCACAAAAAAAAAAACCTTTTGAGTAATGGCCACCGCAACGAAACCCGAAAACGTCGGTAATGCACAAATAATTATGGACAGACCGACAAATGATACGCACAACTGAGATTAAGACGAAATAAGTTCAAAACTGTAATTTCCTCACCGGTTATTATGAAATATGACGACGTTTATGGGGTTCGAAGATAATTCGCCTATTCTTAGACAATTTCGTAATTTATGTTTTGTGTCACATGGTCTATTACAGTAACTTTGTTATTACCATTCCATGGGATGAAACACACGCACTGCAATTTATTTAATAAAGTTTCTTAAAAATCCTATCACCAAGTCAAGCGTGAGGGCAATCAAAATTTTTTTTATGATGAGGAATAACATGGGTTTGGATTTTTAAGAAATCCTTATAATATATGAGTATAATAAATATGAGAGCAATCCTGATTGTCTGTAAGGTATTCAAATTTACATCACCTTTTGAAAAATTGGTATGGAATTATAAAAGATCTTGAAGGGTTATATTATCAATGGTGTCGATTCTGCCATGATTCTGTAAATCTAAACCTAAATTTGACAACAGTGCATCTTTGTCATTCTTTATACAGAATGAAAAGGAAAGGGTGATGTTAAATTTAGTTTTAAGTTTAGAGAATCATGCTAGAATCATCACCTATAAGTCGCTAAAACAAAACTTCTTGAAAACCAATTTATTCTATGCACGAGAAGTTCGGAACGTTCGGGTGAATAATTTCATATTGTGCATTCAGTCACCGGTGGTGGACTACCTCAAAGTTACGAGATTACGTAAGGTTTTGGGTTGAAGGGTTAAAATTTTATATGCATTCTCTATAAAAGACACGTTATATCGATTAAGCCCTGAAACGGCAGAATGTATGAAACTTTGGTATGTACTTGCGACATTAGTAAGATTGAACATGGTAGAGAACCTCAGAACCTTTATCTGAATGTTGGCGACAATTTGTCTTTGTTTTCCATTCATCCACATAAGTACCCACTGAAGGGAGTAACAAAACGGCTTTCAGCAAAATCGAAAAGCCTTCAATCTTACAAATGTCTGAAAAAAGGTGCGTCGCGTCCAAAAGGACGAAAATGTGCCGGACAAAAGCCAATTTCAAGATGGCAAACAATGCCCTCCCTGGCGGTCACAATGGCTCACTCGGAGGCCTTGCATTCTGCGGTTTTAGATGTACTACGCGTTCGACGATTGCAATACGAAAATAAAGCTTTTGCATTGGTGTACTTGGCTACTTATAATATTTTAGTATATACACTATTTTTGTTCCTAACACAACCTAGGAAAGCAATTTTTAACAATTTCCAGATTGGGTAGGCATCAGAAAAAACTATAATATTTACAGTGCAGCAATGCATTTAAGTAAAGAATATTATTTAACGACAAATCTTTTTAGGCATTCTTAACTTTAACAAAGAAGCGAAATAATTAAAGCCCACAATAACAATTTCATGAGTCTTAGAGACAATGGTGTCTTGTGTCTTATATTTTATCAATTGTCAGTGGCATTTCTTCTTCATGAATTGACTTAACATGGCCTTTTGATGTGAGGAGTCTGAAGGTAAAATGGTTAACGCGATTTGCGATTGTGGGTGTGATACTGCTTTTACAATGGTCAGTCATTATATGGGTGACCAAAACGAATCACGCGCCAATCTACACTAGTATTCTACGTGTGGCTGTTCAAGGTTCTGTCCATTCCATCCATAGGGAAGACCTATGCCCGAGCTGTCAGGATATTAATGGACTGATGATGATGATCTTACCTGTTCTGGTCTTAGTCCAGGCGGCACCCACGTGTACTCTTCCAGTGCGCATCCTGAATCATCGTCGCTCTGAGAATGCCGATGAGGGTCTCCTGGTTTCATCAATCTCTCCGCATGCTCCAGTAGTCCTCTAAACTTCCCTTGAGGAATGGGATGAGGGGACAGCGACATGGCTGACTGGGGAGACTGAGGAGACTGGTAGCTTTGTCCAGGCTGGTTCAATTGAGATACACTATGACTATGAAGGAGGTTGTATTCCGAGTAGTTTTGACTTTGAACCGGCTGACTTCTTCTGAAGTTTGGGTAGGAGTAAGGGTGCGGTGAATTCGATTGGCTGGCTGATGAGCTGTGGCTTGGCTGGGGAGAAGGGAGAGGGGGTAGGAGACGAGGTGATGTGATCGGTGATGATGGGGCCGGCGGCGGTGGTGATGATGCGTTCTCGTGCAGCGGTGGTGGTGACGAACCAGTCGGGGACACTACGCAGTTGCGGCAGACGGGCCTGGAAGAAAGGAAAAGATAAATGTTAGATTATTAAGACAGATGAGTGATGTAAAAAATAAACAGATAAATACGTGTCAGACTTGCATACAAGATTCCGTATCATTGGTACAAAATTAAAAATAAAATCAATCAAACAATTCCAAATAACAATTGATATTCAAATTGAAATCATTTATTATTCGGACAACATAGATCCATGTGTTAGTATACAATACTTAATACTATGTTAGTAAATTATATTAAAAACAGATATAACCCTATTTACAAAAATATTTATCAGTGGACAGTCCCCACGAGCCACTAAATCCCTCACAACACTACTGCGGCTACCACGAACCCGCCGTAGCAATGAACCTGCTTTTTTGCGCAAAATAGCCGGGAAACTGTCGACCTGCGCATCTACGAACATTCCCGAAGCACTACAATATCGCGGCAGCCGCAGCAGTGCCCTGAAGGCATTATTGTATTGGACACGGAGGACATCATATGATTTTCGGGTAAAATTAACCCATAGGCTGCTCGAGTAGAAAGATGTACAAAAAGCCTTAAAAAGAGTTATTTTTACAGTGTCAGAACATCGAGCAAACCTACGGGCCAACATATTTGCCCTCTTAGACAATGCCCTTCGCTCCCTTTCAAGGTCAGCGTCATCCTTTAAAGTATCTGTTACAATATGACCTAGATATTGAGCAATGATAGGTACATTTGATTTTTACTTTTTGTCGTCATTAAGGCAAATACATATTCATTGAAAGTTTCAAATCTCTAATGTGGGAGCTACTTCCATAGACAGAAAGTTCAATTCAAACCGAAAACATTTTATACCTTGACGCTTTTGAATTTAATTTCAAAGAACAAGATACTTTTGAAGCAGTTACTGTGCCAAATAGTAATACTAATCTGTAGCTTTTTAAGCGTCGACAAATTTTCTCAAGACAGTGCAATTGAAATTTTAAATCAATTAATAAAATGTAATTGATATTGACTTCCTCAAGTCATATTTCATTAATATCGAAGCACCGATCATCGACTCGTGACCCGCCGTATCGATCCATGATCTATAGACGTGATCTATTCTTGCAAGTTAATTCGTGTGATTAATAGTACATTTTGTGACCGCTAGAGGTCGATACTTTGTATCTGGGATAATGTGTGGTAGTTAAACCATTATTCATTTCACGATGGGCAGTTAATGTTCTAAGTACAATAGTGTAACTGTGTTTCGATCTTGATTACTATGATTTCACAATCGTACTCCTACGTTATCCTACTAATATTAAAAATGTGAAAGTTTGTATGTTTGTTAATCAATCACGCAAAAAATACTGAACGCATTTAGATGAGATTTAGTACGCATATAGTTTTATGACCTGGATCGAGACGTAGGATACTTTTATTGAGGAGCTCGATGGTCGGCTGCGATCGTAGAAGTTAAGCAACTTTGGCAGTGGTCGGTCATTGGATGGGTGACCAAAAATCTTCTCTCGCTCTCCGAGCGATCTCGAGTTCCACCGTGCTTCGGAAGGCACGTTAAGCCGTTGGCCCCGGCCGCATCTGCAGTCGTTAGCACCCGCCAATCCTTTCTGGGCCCGCACGGTGGGTCATGGCCCAATCTCCCTATTCCATTCATAGGGAACACCTGTGCCCCAGCAGTGCGGACATTAATAGGTTGATGATGACACTTTTGACCTAGGGGCCATTCGCCTACCGTAATGCTTTGGTAAACGCAAACGCTTTCGATTTTATTTTGTTATTTCTGACCGCCGAATGTTTTCAAATACTTCAAGCTCATTTTTTTTAATATTGTTATTACCAATGCAAAAGAAAAAAAAAGAGCGCGAGGCATTTGAAAACCTCAGGCGGCTAGAAATAACGTATAAAGCATTTCCTTTAGGCGAATGGTTCCCTGGTCAAATGACAGGTTACTGTGGGATTCTGAAAAAAACTGAAATAAACATAGACGATGTCGCGGGAGACCGTTAGTTAAATAATATGGACGAAAAAATATGTTATCGGGTCGTTATGTTAGTCACCTTTGAAGTGATAAATGTGGATTTTTATAATAAAATCCTCTCTTTTATGATTATAATTTATTTATGTTCATTGATACGTTCGGAAGCGATAAGATTTTCCAATACAAATCGAGGTTTATGGTTATGAGTCATATTCAAATGAGAAGATATAAAATATGTTGGCTCTCATAGTAAATTCGTTTCTCTGTGTTATAAAATTCTCGTGAAATTTGAATTGATTGACCGACTAAAATTTTCATATTTTAATTATTACATATTAATTTATATATTTCGATTCATTTTCGTTTTTATGATCAGTGAATCTGGCAGTTTATCATCTAAAATCAAGTTATAAACGCTTAGCAGTAACTTTCAAAATATATTTTACTACGAGTAGATATAGACGTACAGTACGTAGGAGCATAGATATTTTTAGACCATGGTGGTGTCATAAGTACCTCTAATATAAGTGTAAACATAAGCAATAAACTTGAAAAAACATGTATCACAAGTTTTGTAATTCCATTAAATCTTCTCAGTACATGCCGTTCGTCTGCGGATTTCGCTGCCAGCAGAAATAAGAGGCTCTAGTTCTGTCTCAGTGTTCAAAAAACATCTGAAGGAACACTATTTATCGTCTTGCCCTTAATTTTGCCCCATGTTCTTGTCATTGTTTCTCTTCTCGTCGTCCATATTATATGTACATATGTATTTTTTTGTGTATTGTCATCAATATCATATTCGTTTGTGTATGTATTTATTCATTATAATATATATACTTGTATATATAAACCTTAATATGTAGTTCTCATATATCTTAGTATTTATGTCTAATTACGTTCCCTAAAATGTGGTTGAGCGAAGCGATGGCTGGTTCATGCGTCATGTTCGTGAACGGGTGCTGTCAGCGGAGATGAATCTGCCCTAACTACTTTGATAATTTAGATGTAAATGTTTAATTACATCTATTATAAATAACTCTATTTGTATTTATACTGTGTGACACAGCTATCAAAATGCAGGTGAACAATTAATGTATAATTTCACATTATGTAATGAAAGGTGACTTCATGAATCATCTCTGAAGTCATTTTTCAACTTGACGACTCTGTAAATGATAAAACAGGGAGAAAAAAACAGCCCTTGCTGAGTTTCTTGCCGGTTCTTCTCAGTACAAGGTCTCCCGCCGTAGATTTAGGAACCGATGGCGTAGCTTCTAGACATTCATATGTGCTTGTAACAGCCTATACTGAATAAATGATTTTGATTATTGATTATTATTTAAACATGTGTTTATATTCAGGTGAACACGCTGGCTACCTTTTCTTATTTTCTTTCCTACTACGGGCCTATTAAAAGAAATTTCAGATTGAAATAAGTTGTGCCCTTGTACATGTAATCTTTAGTTAAGTTGCTCCTATAACTATATTTATGTGCACATAATATATAAATAAATGAATATACATTATTTGTTTCTTAGGTTTTCACGCACATCACTCATTAAATAAAACTAGTTTTTACGGATTAATGCACGAAACTTTATTTATTTATTGACGTTTCGTAAGGCCTTTACAGGCTTCGTCCTCAGAATAAAACTTTTATATAAAAGTTTCCTTTACAGGCTACGAAACGTCAATAAATAAATAAAGTTTCGTGCATTAACCCGTAAAAACTAGTTTTATTAAATATACATTACAAAATCAATGAGAATTCTAGTTGTCTATCTGTTTATCGTTCATGATATAGGGCTCGCTGCTGGCAGACTGACAAACGGACGGACAGCAAAAGGCTTAGTCAAGGGTACCGTTGTCACCGTTTCTGTAGAGAACCCCAAAGGCAGTCACGATGAATCCGTTAATGATGACATTGACACGTGACTTCCAACGATAAGTTTTTTAGTTTTTTATCAGACTGATTAGTGGCATATCATTAATGCTCGTAGATTAAATCAATTTAATCAAGTAACTGCTTAGAGAAGTGACAAAATGTAAGAATGTGATCTTATCGAATCAATAAACAGGTTCACGTATGTTCGTAGATTAAACTCTCTTGAAAGAGAATAATGGACTTTTCAAAGAGAGCGGAGTTAAAATATTCAATGAAAAAGGAGACCCGGCACTTTTCATAGAAAAAATGCTAAACTTGTATACAGTTGAATTTGGTCTCAAAATAAAGCCAAAATTATTTGCTACATAAAACTACTTTTGCCTTATTTTTAGTGAATCGTGGAAAGAAGTTATATAATGATTAATATTTTTTTGATATGGAAACCCTAAATCTTCAAGGGACAGAATTTTACTTCAAAATATTACTCAAGTGACTGTAAAAACTTCCTTCCTTTGCTTTTTCTAAATAAAAAAACCAAATGTCAATTTGACAATCCTAAAATACAAACAAAAAAATCATTCGTATTTCGCATCCGCTCCCGCGTACTGTGATTGTGAATGTTCTCTGCTGTGATTGCCTTTTTATCCGTTATATCTCTTGACGACCCGGCTACATATAGAGGTTATATTGACAAACCTACGTATTTGACATTGACAGCTAGCTGCTGATGACAAATATTGCCAGACTACGTTACCCAATTATGAAACACAGATAAAAAAATTAAAAAATTATACAACTTTGGCACAAAATGCCGGGTGTCCTTTATATATATTGCCACGATATGCCTACTTGAGTTCTGGAATGAATATCTTGATGTAACGGAATCACAATCGTGGTGTTTCGAATAAGCAGATTAATGTAAATATTTCACGTTTGATAATGCTCATTACGTTAGATATTCAATACACACGCACAGATCACGGAGCACAGATTAATAGAAAGTGTATTCTTTCACACCTTATGCCGGCACGTCATGTGGCTAATTGTGTTTGCTATTTGGTAGATGTGTATACACTACGGGCAGTGAGAGGAAGGGACTGCTATCGAGGCGGATGTGATGCTACTACTTATCATCATCATCATCATCATATCAGCCGTA